TAGATTGAAGAAGTAAAAGAAAGTCTGAGTGGCCTTATAACCATCATAGAAATCAAATCAGTTTTTTTTTGTTTTTTTTTAAAGTTTGTAACAGAGGACAATTTATTAGAGTAGAAAATAACAGCTCTCAAAATGAGAGGGGGTCCCAACTGGGTTGCCCCTCGATTCAGTTTTTAACAAATCTTCCCACAAAGAGAATACCAGCAATGCGATATAAACTGCACATCTTCAAAGTGCACAATTTGACATTTTTAAAAATAAACTTTTAAAAGTTTTAGATTTGGCAGTGCTGCCAATGCCCAGGAGAGAAGCTGAGGTCGTCACTGGATTTGAACTATTTAAAGTGGGTAGAAAACTGTTTCAGCAATGCAGACAATTAAGTGTGTCGTGGTGGGTGATGGTGCCGTTGGTAAAACATGTCTCCTGATATCATATACAACAAACAAATTTCCATCTGAGTATGTACTGACTGTTTTTGACAACTATGCAGTCACAGTTATGATTGGTGGAGAGCCATATACTCTTGGACTTTTTGATACTGCAGGGCAAGAGGATTATGACAGATTACGACCACTGAGTTACCCACAAACAGATGTTTTTCTAGTCTGTTTTTCAGTGGTCTCTCCATCCTCATTTGAAAATGTGAAAGAAAAGTGGTTGCCTGAGATAACTCACCACTGTCCAAAGACTCCTTTCTTGCTTGTTGGGACCCAAATTGATCTCAGAGATGACCCCTCTACTATTAAGAAACGTGCCAAGAACAAACAGAAGCCTATCACTCCAGAGACTGCTGAAAAGCTGGCCTGGGACCTGAAGGCTGTCAAGTACGTGGACTGTTCTGCACTCACACAGAAAGGCCTAAAGGATGTATTTGACAAGCAATATTGGCTGCTCTGGAGCCTTCAGAGCGGAAGAAGAGCTGCAGGTGTGTGCTGCTATGAACATCTCTCCAGAGTCCTTTCTGCACATCTGTTGTCGGCATCATACTAACAGCAATGTTTAACTCAAACTAAAGATTAAAATTAAGGGCCGGCCGAGTGGCACAATGGTTAAGAACTGGCTTGGGACACCAGAGGGCTCCGGTTCGGATCCCACATATGAGGGCCAGTGACACTGCCCTCCACAGCTAAGATGCTGAACAACAGCTCAACCTGGAGCTGGGCTGCCGTGAG